TTCATTTCCACTTACCTCAAGTGCAGTGTCTGAGATTTTCTACAGACAAAAAGACCGTATCACGAGGTTGAAATAGCTGAAATTAAGTGTGGGTTCCCTTTTAATCTCCCCACCCCCTTGAAATTCAACACCGAAGTATAATTCTACACAAATGTCACTGTGATAAGGTATCAGGAATTTGGGGTTTCCATCTTTCCTCCAGCAACCTTTCCCTGACACCCTAAAGTATGGTGATAAATGTTGCCTTAATTTGCACAAGAGGTTTCAATTGCCCTCCTGGGAGACCACCTTGAAGGAGCGAGTAAAGGGTTTAGTCATGGTTTCTATTTTTCTATGTGAATTCACTACATTCTAGTTAAATGGACAATTAATAGGTCACTTCCAAAATCGTAGTGTGTGAGTCCTGGTCGATAAAGAATCCCCACAGTGGCTAAGGGGCCCGATGTATTCAGCGAGTCCCTGTGTATACTCAGCTCATCCACTAAATCCCCTTTCAGGTGCACAGGGTTATATGGGAAGATGAGCTACAATGAGTCTATAAAAGTCCGTTTCATTCACTGCTTTATTTTTCAGTCAAGTGCTTTAAATGGTGTCCAGAAATTCACTTGGAATGTGGGCAGGAGAAAAGACTGAGACGCTGAGCCTGGCTTTATGACCGTACAAAAGGGCAACTGACCCTTGCCCAAGGCTTGTCCATGTGAAACGGTTCCTAAAGTTCATCTGCACAGTGAAAAATCGTGGTGAGGTCGCGTGTGGATGAGTCAAGTGAAAGTGCCGATTGGCCACGGTTCTGTCCTCCTTTGTGACTGGGCCCCAGCTCTGTGGGAAAGTATCAGCCCCCTAAAGAGACGCTCAGAAGCTCGCAGCTCATTAAGCGGCCAGCATTTGCTGCCTCACTTGTCAGGAATCATCCCGTCAAGCAACTGCCCTATCAAAACATTCATGAAATGCAGGCACTGAGGCGACAGGGATCTGAATCCCACTGTGTGCGAGTGGGCCCTTTAGAAGGAGTCCCCTCCCAGGGCGCTGTGCACCTGAATAAATCACTGCTGTCTCTCCGGCAGTTCAAAGAAATGCACTCTCCCCTGGACGTCTTTATCATAAACTCAAATGCTCTGCTGCCATTTTCTTATCTGATCCAGAACGCTCAAGACCAAGGTGAATTTTAGTCAGTTGTTGCCCATATGTGAATATATTCCCACCCCATCCCCTGTCCTGCGGGGCAGAGGGGCACACTACAGATGGCTGACGGGTTGTCATCCTCACCCGGACCCCCAAACTATTAACATTTTGCTTTTCAAAGGTTTGGAGAAAAGTTCCCCTTGGAAATAGTTCATAAAACTGTATAGCTCTGGTTGGTTTTCTTCCAGATGGTAAAGAGGAGGTATTTCTATAGACATCTAGTCACTTGCCCTGTCCTACTTTAAGCGGAATGGAAATTGTACACAGCACAATTTCTCGCCTTCCTTTCTTTTCTTCTTGAAACAAGTACTGCTACACACTGCAAAAAGAGCCAACCGGGTCCCTCGGGAGATCTTTTCGATGGGCGAGAACACAAGGCGCTCTCCGCGGTGTGTCAGCCGGGTTTCCATGCCACTAGAGACCTGCACAATTGCGCAGTGTCCTAAGGTTTGATCGATCTCTGGAAACCTCCTGAATGGGATTGCTGTGATTTTCAGTGAGGAATTAGCTCCTTGCCATTGCATTACCAATTAGTTTTCCAGAGCACATTAAATCCTGCTGCTTTGGTTTACAGAATAACCGAGGCATTGCTGATGAAGCATACAAACTTACTTGGAAAAGCAGTGGGGGATGCAGGGCGCCGACAGGACCCACCGCAGCACGCTGAGTAGAATGGGGGATCGCTCAAGAAGAAAGGTTTCGAAGGCGCTGCAGGAAAATAAAGCATGGGCTCACTGATTATCCCATCCTTTCAGACGATTGTCAAAACTCCTATTTCCCAAAAGCCATTCTGCGCAAGTCCTTCAATTGCTGGGTGTTTACCTAGCTCACTGCTGACCACTTTTCCACCGAAATTAAAACCATTTTAAGGCAGTCTTTAGCCGTCAAAGGGCTTGCCCCCACTCATTTTATGAAGACTTGGAGGACGTGGTGGAAAAACTCAAATGATCGAACTCCAAATTTACCAGCTCATTTTCAGCAGGGTCAGCATCATACATACAAACTCTATACTTTTACTTAAAAATCTAGCTCAGGCCTGTTCAGTCCGGCCATGGAAATGTTCTATCGCCGCACTGTCCATCAGAGGATCGAGGAGTCACCTGGGACCCAAAGCCCTTGAAATGTGGCTACTGTGGCGATGCGCCTGAGATTTTCAGTTTAAATAGGCCCCTTTGTCGGGGCTACTATATTAAAGAGCAAGCTCTAGACAGTATACTGACCAAGAAAAATCGGAATGTTGTGTGTTTGAATTCTATTGTCATATTAACTGTGCTGCTTCTTTTCAGAAAGAACTTTGAAATACAGGACAAGTAAAATAGCTATTTTACTGAGCAACTCCCTAACAAAGTTGGCATTTTGCTAACATAGTTCTGACTCCATGTGATGCTTAAAAGTATGTGAGGATGCAAATAACTCAGAAGATTTCATCTTGTTCATCTGAAACATTAGTATTCATAGTCTACAGAGTTGCTACATCATTTTGCTCTGCTCATTTATGAAACTACACTATTAATAAAATGTTCAATAGTTATCACTACTCATAAATGGAGTTAAGCGAACCCTTGAACTCCTTGCCTCCGTCATGAAATACCAGTAGAGTGTGAAGGGTGGTACAGAACTTTAAGAGCTTCCTTTATTGAGACTTCACTGTCCTCCAGGCTTTGGTAATATCCCTTAAATGCCTTGTATCCGTTAATACACTCAATCTCTTACAACATAAATGTAAATCAAGAGTTCCTGAAGATGAGTACGATCAGAGCATCCCCAGCAGAGTTCCTGGCACATTCTAAATCCTCAACATGCTTTCAGTCAGTGAAGAAATGAGCTACATTTAAAAACCATTTTCTGCTGTCTTTTCAATCGAGCTTTGCTGTTTCGCTTGGCCATTGCGCTGGGTCCTTTTTTGGTTTTGCTTTTTGACTTTGTTCTGAATGTTTTTCTGCGTAGGGAAGTCAGGATGGTTGGATATATGAAGACAAAGATTAATAATTACGGGAGGGCATAGAAGGTGTGGGGGCCCATGAGGAGTCAAGGGCAATGGATACGAGAAGAAAGAAAATGTTCCCGAGTTGATTGTGGAGAGGAATGCACTACCTTTCATAAAATGATTGCATTATTGAATTGTATGTTAATTATATCTCAACAAAGCTACTTTAAAAAATGAGCTTCGAATCTAAGAAATAGGAAATTGTACTGCTCTTCTAAAATAAAATATGAGAATCAGGAGTTTACCTTTTCCCTAACGCCCCTCCACATATCCTGTAATATGGTATTTTCTAGAACAGATGGCCTTAACATCTTGAGCAAGTCTTGAAATGATTTTGTACTGTCTTTTTGCCATCTTCATGTGGCAACATCTCTCCTCTTAATCACATAAAAGTAATACTAATTTGATATGCCTACATAGACTTTTCAACAACACTGTAATTTCGGGCTTGCATATTCATCATTAAGTAGTGTGCATTTTCACCAATACCTTTGCTAGACATATCAAACAAAAGTATACTATCAAAATTTTTTTATATTATTGCAGAGTATTAATGCCTTAAATTTTTAAATTAATTATAAATGCACTTTCCCTCCTATACCAAATGGAAAGTTGTCAAATGTTGATATTTTCTAGTTTTTAGTATCTGGATTTTTGAAGAAAAGGATCTGTTTTAGTGCTATTTTGAAAATACAAGTTTTTAAGCAGTCATGAGAAGATTATTTCTCTGTTCATAAATTCTGAAATAATTTTTCAAAACATTTAATTGATATCCTAAATTGTTCTAATACTATCAAAAAATTACAAAAGTGATAAATAATTTCATTTGAATTTAACATCTTAAGTGAAATTTACAAGAGTATGGCATTAATTAGTCTATGGTATATTAACATTGAAAAAATGAAAATATATTTCTAAATTGCTTTATTATGTTTACTCTCAAGTATTTCTGTGAAGTAACTTATTTCAATGTCAAAGTTATGGCTACTGAGTTATTTGCCATTTCAATAATGGAGGTGGGGGGGGGAACTGTGTTGTATTTACATACTAAAAAAAACCCTAAAGCCCAAATTCACTGCCATCGAGGTGATTCTACTCAAATGGAACCTAGGCAGGATGGAACTGTCCCTGTGGATTTCCCAGATATAATGCTTTATGGACGTAGAAAGCTTCATCTCTCTCCCATATTTACATACATCTAAATAAAATTCAACATTTACCAAGGTGTCTGGAAACACTGTTAGAGATACACTTTTTGCTAAATCTGGAATATAAAAAATATGATAGTGTACTTGTAAGACCATTAAAATAATGATGTAGGATATGTATAAATTACAAATTTCCTATGTAGCCAAAATGTTTCTCAAATAGTCTAATCCCACAGTTTTAAATGTTGCGGGGTATATCGTGTTAACTCTTTAAAAAATGGTTCATTTGAGATAAGCAATCAAATATAAACTCCTTTATGTTAAACAAAGTTTCAAGATGTATGATCTTAATGTCAAATTTAGCCTGAACAGTAGTATTTATTAAACAATTGAAAATTAAATCCACAGCGCTAGATATTACCCTGTCTGAATATAGTACTGCGGCTATCAAGATGACAGACTGTCTACAGTAACAACTCTTGTTTTTGCTCAAGAATTGACTTTCACAGAATGAGGCATGACCAAGCTTACCGTTGTATTGTGTGGCTTCTCGTCACCATCCTAAATCACCACTTTTGAGACATATATTTACACAGATTAGTCAATTCCTGACTGCCATAGATAAATATACCTTGTTTAAGCGGGGTTATGTGGAAATGGCTGTGAAATTCTAATTAAGTGCTTTTTTTTTAACATGCTTTTACTTTGACACAAATTAAATGTTAAGCCAGCTGAGCATGTGACTGCAATAGAAAGCTTTAGAAATTAACCATTTAAAATCATACAATGCAATATATATATATATAATTTTGAAACACTTAAAAATAAGATAGTTCCTAAAGCAATCAACCCAAGAGGTAACTCAAGTGTGATTTAAAAAAAGAAAGTGACAAGTTGACAAATATGTTAAAACTTTTTTAATCCGTTAAGAGCAATCTGAAGATGCTCTGGGAGAAAAAAACCAAAGCAATTGCATCTGAGGAGATGAACATTTCACTACCATTGATGCTGTCCAGGAGCAGTTACCACGTCATCTAGGATGGCGGAGGCTTACTGAACAAGAATGGTTTACAGTAGTAGCAGTGTTCAGGAAATTCCTACTTTAAGTCAGGCACTGGACTCGCTATATGTTTAAATCACACATGATTTAATGTTCTGACATCAAATGAGCATGCATCTGTACTGGGTTTATGACTGCTTTCGGCAAACTTATATTTTTAATGAAAAGACCAGAGAAATAATAAAAATTTTAGTATAAAATTCCATTATTAGCTATAAGGAGGAGGATGCAGAGTCTTAGCCAGTTTGTCAGTAAGAGATGGATGCCAGAAAGGGGATCCATCTCCCAAGAAAACCAAATGGCCTTTCCCGCGTGAAAACACAAACACATACACACACACACACACACACACACACACACACACACACACACACACACCAGGTTCTACAGGGCATGAAGTTCCACTGGTATAATTCTTCAGGATACTCCGAATTGTGTACACTTCCAACAAGTCTAGTGTTCAAGTTTCTTTGGGGAGCTACAGCAAGCTTTAAATACATTCCTTAACAGTTTGGGGACTAAACTGAAGCCTGTCTGAATCCAAATGACTAAAGTTCACGTATTCACAGAAAACTTCATGGACTTTTCTCCTCTTTGTAGGCTGTTTTGACTTATCTGAAGACACAGAACCAAAGTATCCATTAATTAATTGGAATATTTAGTTAATATGGAAAAGTGTAGCCAACTTAATGGTGGACATGCCTGGTAATTTTTAACTTAACTAACTAGGTAGTTCTGTGCTTTAACTAACCCCAAAGTCAAGGTTGGTTACAAGTTTGCTGACAGAGAAATTATTTTCAAAATTCTGTTGTCTAGGAAGCAACACTTTGATTTTTTTTTAAATTTTTATTCTTTTTACTGATAGGAAAGAAAGCGGGTAACTGAATAGAGGTAAAACCACATTCTCTTCCTTGCCAAGGTGAACTCTGGCACTGACTGACGTGAGTTGCTCTGTCAGAGCAAAAGTACTAAAGACCATGCATACATTTTTAAATAAATTTCAGGAGCCCATCACAATGCTGTGCATGTTTTCAGGAAGGTAAGGAGAAGTGGGAACGATTCTTAGCAGCCTGAGTCAGGGTTTTTTCAAAAATACATTGCAGAAGAGGAACAGGGAGTTAAATAGTGCCCAGCGATGGTCTTAATAACCTCTTTCGTGAGCCAGGAAATAAGTAAGCCTACACTTCTGATCTGAAAATAACATGAGAGGGCTTCAAAAGTTTCGGGGGGAAAAAAATCCATTGTCTTATTCCATTTTTCTGGGAACTTTTAAAATCCCACTTATATGGTCACAAATATGTGACTTTGATGAATGATAATTGCCTGTATTGAGTAGTTGAACCTAAGAAATATCAATAATCCAGTAGGGTTTGATTTCTTTTATTTTGCATTTTGCTTTATTTTCATTTATGAGATCCAAGGAAAAGCAAGTTGGGTAAAGTCGTCCTTTACCTTTCTGCTCACCAGAAAACAACAAAAATCATCATTTTGGTCTCAAGAATATGTCAAAGAC